GGGTGGGTGGGAGGGGCTATTTTATATTTACTGCATAGAATAGTAACTTCCACTGAAAAGAAATGAACAGACATACGGTACAAATGACTGCAGACATTATCATCAGTAAGCATGAACACCTCTGAATATCATCTATTGTGTGGTATGAGAAGACAGGTTATCTGAAATTCTCATGTCTCTGAGTAAATCTTTGATCTAAAAAAAGTCTGGTTGGAAGCAGGAAGGAAAAACAGAATAGAGAAACTGATTGTACATAACAATGCAAAAGGTGCCCTTTGGCTTATAATTTTTTAAATATAGTTTTTATCCAAACAAACAAACAAAGCACTTTCCNAGTAGCCTGCAGTGCTGCATTTAACCACTGCGCCACCTTGGCTCTTGCTTTATTTGAGGTCTTTCTCATAAGGGAAACAAGCACGAACACGAATGACTTAGGAAAAAATAGAAGTATGACCTCTCTCTTGGATATTATTTCACAGATCTCATTGTAGCCATAGTTCCCGCTCTCACAACTTAAAGAGACATTATATGTCCTTAGATGTATAAGTTACTCAAACTGAGACGTTGATTAATGGGAATAGGATAAGTATGAGATTAACCAGTCTATTTATACAGGTAGTCCTCAAGTAACTATAGGCCACTTAATGACAGTTCAAAGTTATGAGTGACATTCCAAAACTATATACAACCCTGTTTCAAGGGTAAGGTAAAGGTTTCCCTCGCACAAACATGCTAGTCATACCTGACTCTAGGGGTCCGAGTTCATTTCCGTTTCAAAGCCAAAGAGCCAGCGCTGTCCGAAGACATCTCTCTGGTCATGTGGCTGGCATGACTAAATGCCGAAGGTGCATAGAACGCTGTTACCTTCCTACCCAAGGTGGTTCCTATTTTTCTAATTGCATTTTTACATGCTTTCGAACTGCTAGGTTGGCAGAAGCTGGGACAAGTAACAGGTGCTCACTCCATTATGCTTCGCTAGGGATTCGAATCGCCGAACTGCCAACCTTTCTGATCGACAAGTTCGGGGTCTTAGCCACTGAGCCACTGCGTCCCTTTTTGTTTCAATGCTAGGACAGCTGAAATGACACCGTGGTCATTTGCCATCACACAGACCACGGGAATACTGTAGCATTGCCGTCCCTATCTTTCAGCCTCCATCCGCCCCCAATAGGACCTGCAGCATTCATGCCTCCTGGAAACAGCCACAATTTTCAAGGTTCCAACAATTCCTTGCAGAAACGGCAGCTGCTTTCAGAGCTTTCTGCAAGATCAGGAGGTTGCCAATCTGCTGTCCATCAGGAGACTGCAAAGCTCTCCTGCCTTTTGCCTTCAGATGGACAGCCAAATCTTGCAAAGAACCAGTGTCCTCCATTTTGTTGCACATCTTTTGGAGATATATTTTTTTTTTAGTTCAAAAGAAAAAGCCACAGAAAGATTTTATTTCCTTGTCACTTCATTCCTCTACCCTTCAGCCTAGAGTCAAGGTAAAGTTTTTAAAAGGGTTAGAAATTGGAAAGCAGAGGGAGAATTCAGTCTGCATGCGCAGAAGTGTCACACGTGCACGAACAAACCAGTAGTTAAAAAAAAATAGAAACACACCGCTGCTCCCAATGGCCAGCTGATCAGTGACAGGCTGATGGGTACACAAAGCTCTGAAAGACTGGTTCCTTTTTTGCTACACCAAAGCTGGGCACCTTGGCAGGATAAGGGCAGGGGCAGAATTAAAATGGCATGCATGCCCAGGGTTTTTCTCCCCCATTCTTGCTCACTGGCAAGGGAGTCAGCTGTATGGTGGGCCTTAAGATGGAACCAGAATCACTGTTAGATGCTGATCTGATCTGAGTGTTTGTAAGTTGGCTGTTGGAGGTTTTGTATAGTGATCAGCCTGAGCTATTGTAAGTTTTGCAACTGCTAGCAAATTTTGTGTACCGGACTGTTTGTATGATTATGGACTATGTTATTTGGATTATCCCTTAACTGAAAGACGTTGATGACTGACTATCTTAATCGTGTATGACTTGGACTGTTTGATGGACTCTGGTACCTCTATTTCCACGAAAGTAAAAATGTATTTAAACTGCAGTGTCTCGGAATGCTGTTTTTGTGTTCTCCAACACCCATCTCACAACGCTTCTCTGAATGCACTCGCTCTCCCAACAGGGAGCTTACCTAACATCCCATACTGCTTGTTTTGCCTCCATGGCTCAAGCAGCCAAATTGTGTATATTTGAGTAACTAAACTAAGTATGTGAGGAACCCAGCAGTGTTATAGGTATCAGAAATTAGATAACGTACGTTAGTAGAGGTAGGTTTTATCTCTGTAAAATTATGATAGTGTGCTGGCCCTGGAGCAAAATTACACTGACTAAATCACAAAATATTTTTATTTTAGTCTATTTGAGTAGCAGTGGCATTCCTTTCTTAAAGAAGGTTATTAAGATCCTCAGCAACCAACCAGTACATTTCCGTAGCACATTTATTGGGCCTATTGAAGGATAAATCAGCAGGCTTACTCTGAGTCTCCTCCCATCTACAGTATACATTACCAAGTGCACAATAATACGAAGAAAAGGGGATGCTTAGAAAAAGTAATTATCTTCTCTTTATAAGGTAGCATATGGAAGGAAAATAAAGGAAGTTTCCTTTATTACTATTGAATTATTTTAAAACAAGGGTGAAGCTGGGGCTGTGCTATGTAGATGGGCATGTGTCCATGAGCCTGGAATCAAGAAAAGGACAGGAAGTGTTAGAATTGTAATGTTCTAGAGAACATATTTTTTAGGATATTCAAATGACAGAGCTCTTCAGGAAATATATGCTTTTTATTATTGTTTAATTAAATGTTCAAAATAAACATCAAACGTTAATTGCTGCCCTTTTATATGACATGTTTATCTACAAACCAGTCAATAGAGAAACTGAAACATTTTAATTGTATATTTTTAAAGTTGTTAATAACCCCCTTTCTCCAATTCTGGTAATTTTATTTGTGTTTATTTGTGTTCACTGCATGCCTGTGTTTGACTTTTGATAGTAAAACATCTGAGGTATGAATGTTCAAATTTCTGGGAAAGGATTACAACCTGCAAAAATAAAGTGCATTGCTCTAAATATTTAGTAATCTATTGCACTGTATTGATTGTTCTGTGGTATCTGCAACATAGAGTTCGATATGAAGAAAGAACACTATATGACAAAATTAAATTACCAGTCTGTTCTGAACTTATAAAAGCAAATAATAAAAAATACACTTCCCCTGTATTATTACGATTTCCCATAGCCCATACAGTTGCATTATAATTATTTTTCTGAAAATTCTGCAATAAAAGAAGCTATTTCCTTATTTTATTTTTACATTTTTATTTTATTACATTTGTATTGTGATTTATCGGAAATAAACATTCATATAATCCTCCCATCTATTTATTGGGAAGTGAATTTCATTTAATAGTCTTAATCATGCTTGCTTTAACTACTGTGGGCCTTACTAAATATATCTGTTAGTTGAATGGATGTATATAATGGATGAATGAATGAATGCACCAGTAGAATGGCTACATATGCTGTACATGATTGCCATAGCACCTATTATTCAATGTATTTGAATAAATATATTTTTCCAATCCAGCAAACAGTGCATTTATACTGGTAGTGAAATCATAATTTCTTTTCTTTCAACTTCTTTAACCAACTTTCCTGGATTAAAAGCTAATTTTGGATCAGATATAATTTCAGAAGCACCATTTTATTTTGTGGCAGTAGTTCTGACAACTTTGATTATGTGAGTTTGACCTGTGGATTTTTTTGATAAATGTAGTGTTATAACCATTATATAGTACCAATTGTGTTATATATAAGTCTTCTACCAAGCTTGTAGTATAAATTCATTAACACATACAGACCTAAATTTTAGAATGGGATATTTAATAATTTCAACAAACACTTTGATTCTTGGGGCTATCATTCAGTCAGTCAGTCAGTCAGTCAGTCAGTCAGTCAGTNCCCTGGGTGGGGCCCGACTAGTAACCAATGCCAAATCCAGCGAAACAACTGGCCGCTGTGATACAATTGTATAATAATAATAATAATAATAAAACACTGTTTGAAACCATAGCCATACTAATTCTCCTATATAAATATGAGAAGTAAATAGATATGTTGGTGAGTGGTCCTAGAGCAGTAAGGAATAGTGCATATTTTAAGAAGAAACAGCACCTTCCACATGACTCTCACTTTCCATCTTCTATTTTTTTTTTCCAAGTGAAAACAAATGTTAGCTTATCTCTATAATAGCTTATCTGTAAGAAATGTACATTCAACTTACAACCATAATTGAGCTGAAAATTTCTGGTGTTAAAATATACATTTGTTAAGTGAGTTTGGCCCCATTTCGCAACCTTTGTTGTGACAGTTGTTAAGTGAATGATTCCAGTTGTTAAATTGGTAATGTAGTTGTTAAGTGACTCTGACTTACCTATTGACTTTGCTTGGCAGAAGTTACAGAAAGTGATCAAATGGCCCTGGGACATTGCAACCATAATAAGTCAGTTGCCAAGTGTCTGAGTTTTAATCATGTGATTATGGGAATGCTGCATTGGTCCTAAGTGTGAACAATGAACATTTTCAATGCCATAGTAACTTCAAATGTCCACTAAATGGACTGTTGTAAATGAAGGACTATGTGTTTGGTACTAAAAATAGCAGAAAAACCAACCTAAACCTGTACTTGATTCAATGGCATGGAAATCAAGGAAACATGGAGAATGAGGGTGTTCTCTTGTGATTTCATAAAAACAAGCAAACAAACATTTCTGGTTTTATTATGATTCCCCCCCAAGAATAGAAAGGCGGGTTATCACATAACTGAACTCTTTTTGATATATAGTTCAGAACCGCCATTTCCCATTAGTGGATAAATATTAAATGAATCATTGACTGACTGTACTAAATATTCAATTTTCAATATACTTTATTAACATACTTTTTTTTTCTTTCTTTAGCAACTTTTGCGAGAGCGGCAGCAGATGGCCAGCCGTCCTTTTGCTTCTGTGGATGTAGCACTCGAAATAGGAGCTGAACAAACAGACTTTCTACGAGGTCCATTAGAGGTAGGCACTGTGTCGCTGACTAGGGACCATTTCAATTTGCATATTTATATTGCTAGTCTCATCTGCATCTGCTTCTGAAACCAAAAAGAGCAGGTTTACCTGTAGCCAACAAGTTGAAGCTACATATGTTGTGTCATTTTCAAGGCTCATCATTTCAGTAGTGTAACATGAGCAGTAACAAAAGCCACTAGAGGATCCATTAGCCTAGCCTGCAATGACAATCTGCTCACCTGGCAGCCCTTTTTGTGGCAGACAACTGTTAGTTGCATGTATTAAACAAGCCTCATGTTTGGTCTTCTGAGTATACTGTGCCCCCTGGTTAACAGTTCATATCCATCTTAATTTACTAGGATTATACTTTAAAATGAGATTTGCATTGCATTTCTTTATTCAGATTTAATATTTTATTTTTGGAGAGATATTATTTATGGGTATATTATGTTTGTGATTAACGGATATACATTCTAACATTTTTAATTGTAAAGGCAACGCTCTGAAAAATAAATTATAAAATACTACACAATACAACATGGCAAGGGAATAGCGTGAAAATACACAAAAGAGATTCTGGAAGCATCACCTAAAATTAAAGAGAACCGTAAATAAAGTATGATAATGACTACCTGACATAAACTAGGACCAGCTTTTTCTTCAGTCTAGTAACTTAGTTCTGTATGTTTAACTACCATTGTTTATACAGTATTTAATCATTTTTATAAACACACACACATACACACACAGAGTTAATTCTGATATTTTTCCAAATTATAAAGAAACTTGTGTTATATATGTCATTTCATATAGCAATAGCAATAGCAGTTAGACTTATATACCACTTCATAGGGCTTTCAGCCCTCTCTAAGCGGTTTACAGAGTCAGCATATTGCCCCCANTATCATCAGTAAGCATGAACACCTCTGAATATCATCTATTGTGTGGTATGAGAAGACAGGTTATCTGAAATTCTCATGTCTCTGAGTAAATCTTTGATCTAAAAAAAGTCTGGTTGGAAGCAGGAAGGAAAAACAGAATAGAGAAACTGATTGTACATAACAATGCAAAAGGTGCCCTTTGGCTTATAATTTTTTAAATATAGTTTTTATCCAAACAAACAAACAAAGCACTTTCCAAAAAGGGTCTGCATGTATTATGCTTGAAGTATGTACTACATTTGAAAACATAGCACTTTTAAAGGGCTTCTTGCCAACTTATTTTTTTTCCTTTCTGCAATTCCTAAAGTTTTTGATTTATCTCTCCCCTCCTCCCTCCCACTCCTCCTCTTTTCTCCCCTGCCTCCACTCTCCTTTCCCCTTCCTGTCCCACTCCCAGTCCCCTCCCCTCAACACCTCTTCTCCCCTCCCCTCTCTCTTCTCTATCCAGTTTTGTTCCCATCTTATTTCACATCTCTATACAACTATCTCTTCCTTTGCCCCATTTCCATCATGTGTTTTTCATCTTTATTCTTATTTCTGATGGAGATAGGACAACATATCTCCCTCTGCACACATTTTCATGCTTTTGTATATGTGGAAAATAATAGTTGATAAATTCAGTTACTCATTCCATCAATAGCTTCTTTTCCTAATCCTACTGGGTCCTCCTCCTACCCCCGGATATGGTTTTAGCACATGTACGACATATATAACATGCAGAAATGTGCCAAGTGCTCATTTATCGGGAAAGGGAAATTTTCCATTACTATTCTGGGCTGGAGTTGACAATTGCAAATCGGTAGGAAGGAGAAACCAAGTCTTATATAATATGTTTATTTTTAATTTTTGTTTTCTTCTGTTAATACTTCCTTTGTGGAAAAGGTATTTTAAATTGGGATCTTCTTAATAATATGTGTAAAATACATTGTAGTACTGCTGTCATAACGCAAGGATCAAGCATTGTTTAGGGGTTAGCTTGAACCCAAGCTTTTGTTCTATTACTTCAATGTGGCATAATTTGCCTGCTGAGAACTAATGGTAATTCATTAAAAATACAATAAGAACTATACTTGACTTTTTTGCTTTCAATTAATTGACATTTACATTAACCAGCTGGCATTCAGTTTTCTCTTGCCAATAACAGGTTTTAAAATTTGTTTCCATACAATAGTTTTTGCTGGGCTTCTTTTCTTTTTAATTTAAATAATATAAATAATATAATGAGCAATTTTAAAATCTGCAGTCCAAGCACGCTTGGATTATTTTGTAGAAAATGAAACTAGTCAAACGTATGCTTGATCAGCAGTATACCTTCCCTGCTCATTTAATAGGAAAAGATCTGCATAAACTGGTAGTGCATTCTTTCAACCTCTTTTTCACAGGTCATTTAATCAGTCTGTTTCACAGATCTTTTATCACAGTTGTCCTCATACATAAAGCACTATGTTGCCAAATTAGTACTGTGTAACTTCACTGAAAGCTGTAACTATTTTGATAGAAGCATAAACATGACACTTATCCAAACAGTAAAAGACATAAACAATTAAGTGTTCTTTTGTAAAATCCATTGATTCAGCTTTATACAATAGGATATTTTAGGAATATAGCTTCTAGTTGTGTTGTAACTTGAATAAGACTTGCTGAAATAAAATTGCTATCGGACTTTCTTTATCCCTAAAGCAAGCGTGCTTGCTTGTTTGTTTATTAAATTTATTTTCTGCCCATCTGTTTCAAAGCAACTCTCAGTGGCTTATAATATTAAACGCATTAAAACCATAAGATAAATATTCCTAAAATGATAAAAACATAGTAGTATCCAGGCAATTGTATCCTTTTCTTGTTGGAAACATTCTGACCTTATTTCCCATAAGATGAGTATTTAGACTCCAGAGGTGGGTTCCTACCAGTTCGCACCTATTCGGTAGAACCGGTTTGTAAAATCTACTGAACCGGTTAGAAGAGGTTCCACCCGTGGCCCCGG